AATTCCCTCTCATTTTGATGTTTACAAATATAACCAAATACTTTATTATAAATGACAGATTCTGACGAACAAGAGAGCTGACATTCTGATGATTTGTTTCAAACTTTTATTAAAGTTAAAAAGAAAGTCTTCAGAAATCAAGTGATATATATTTAAATTCTTTTATTAAATTCTAATGTCTTGGCCTCAAATATCCAATTATGGAAATGAAAAGAGTACACTCAGATAAAACACCCGTCCTCTGTTAAAATCAGATAAGCACTAGCTTATTAAAGAAGTCTTTCATGATTTGAGGTCGCCTCTATTACAAAGTTTCTTTTTAAACTTCAAAACATAATTTTTAAGTCAACCTCTTCCTGCTTTCCATTCTTTAAAATACTGACAGCTGTGTCTATGCCTGTGGTCCCAGGGCTGCTTGAGCCCAGGAGTCCAGGCTAGCTTTGGCAACACAGTGAGGACTCCTCCCCGCACCCCTCCCAAGGGAAGAGGAGGAAAGCAAACACTACTGAGTTTGAAGTATCTCAGTCTCTTTTTATTTTTGTTAATCTGAGACAAGGTTTTACCAAAATATTCAGGCTGGCCTTGAGCTTGCTCTGTAGGAGCCCAGAAGCCTTCTCCACCCCTTTATGGTTTATGTTATAAGACATTCTGAGGTTAGCAGTTGTTATTGTCTATGTGTGTTTGTGTGCACATGTGTGTAAAGGTCATAGTTGTTGGGTTGTCATTGCTTAGGTGCCATCGCCTTGTTGTTTGGAGACATGGGGCTCTGGGATGTAGGTTAGACAAGGCTGTCTGCCCAGAGAGTTCAAGGGATCTTCCTGTCTGCCTCCCCACAGCTCGGGTTACAACCCAGGGTTTTTTACATAGGTATTGGAGGTCACACAGGTCCTTACAGTATGTACTGTACCAACTGCACCATTTCTACAGTCCCTGCTTACAGTTTTTGCCTTTGTTTTCTTTTTCCTAGAGTCTTGCTCTGTCCGTTGCTTGCATATGAAGTTATCACTGAAATTTCCTTTCTCCTTCTAACTCTAATTATGGGGGATAATCTCTACTGAACTTCTAGCTCCTGGGATACTAGTCATTTCCTGCCACATGTCAGTAGTTTGTTAATCTCCTTGGAGACTGCAGAAATCATCTCTTAGATTCTGTTTTCCTCCTTGTCTTATGCAGACTGCTTAAGCAGTGTGTGTATGAACAATGAAGGACTAGGGCAGGAGCTCAGTAGTGAAGTGCTTGCCAAGTGTATGGAAGGCCTAGTTCAGTCTCTAGTACTGGGGTGGAGAAGACTTCCAAAGCTTTCTTTTAAAAAGGGGAAAGGTTATACCAAATCTGTAACATTATGTCCTTTGATCATCACAGAGAACTGATGGAAGACTAAATTCCTTTCCCTCTGCACATAGACATCTTTGCAGGGAGCTCTTTTCCATTCTCATAGAAGCAGAGCCTCCAAAGGGAAAGTACATAGAGTAAAAGTTGTGGTTTGGCACAAATTCACTCCCTGAGAAAAGCCAATTAGCATGAAACAGATAAATGAAGATTTCCATAAAAGTGATAATCTTCAGCCGGGCGTTGGTGGTGGACGCCTTTAATCCCAGCACTCGGGAGGCAGAGACAGGTGGATCACTGTGAGTTCGAGATCAGCCTGGTCTACCGAGTGAGTTCCAGGACAGGCACCAAAACAATACAGAGAAACCCTGTCTCGAAAAACCAAAAAAAAAAAAAAAAAAAAGTGATAATCTTCCCAAGATTTTCATATAAAGGCTAATTTTCAATTTATTGTTTAAGTAATGTTTCTCCCATCCCATCCTGTTTCCCTCCCTACCTACTACAAATGGAATCACATGTGGTATACATTATTGGAGTTGAAAAGAAACACAAATTAAAATTAGCTTTATGTAAATAGACATATGAAGACAATAGATTAAAACTACCAAACAAATAATTAATTGATATTTGACTTAATCAACTTTAATCCTTATGAACAGTAGCTGAATGAGAATGAAGAATTATGAAAAGAATATTAAAATTACTAGAATGTCTTTTTCCCAAAAGCATCCTTTCAAACTGTTGTGAAATATGAACTAATTCATGTCTAAAAGAACTACTTGTATTTCTAATTTTTTATTACACCTGGCCTGCTTTATCATTTTAACAGTTATGACTAAAATAATAAGATATTTATTGTTACATAAACCCTTTAAATATAGATTTGATCTACCCTCCCTTTTTGGGTATTTCGAGACAGGGTTTCTCTGTGTAGCCTTGGCTACCCTGGAACTCACTCTGTAGATCAGGCAGGCTGATCTCGAACTCAAAGAGAGTCACCTGTCTTTGCTTGGATTAAAGGCATTGTGCCATCACTACCCAGGTTTCCCGCCCCCCCTTTTTTTCCCATCTCCTCCTTTTAAGGTGGGGTCTAGCTGTGTGATCAAAGCTGGCTCCAAACTCATGCTTTGTTCCTGAGTGTTGGGATTCCTTCTCCAATCCTGCTTTTTTTTTTTTTTTTTTTTTTTTTTGAGGCAGGGTTTCTCTATAGCTTTTGCAGCCTGTCCTGGAACTTGTTCTGTAGACAAGGCTAGCTTCAAACTCATAGAGATCCAAATGTCTCTGCCTCCCAAGTCAAGTGCTGGGATTAAAGGTGTGCACCACCGCTGCCTGACTAGTTGTTTTACTTTCAATTCTAAGAGTTGCTGACACGGGGTTAGGGGTGTCATCTAGAAGATCCTTTTAGAGTTTTTATTATGTATTTGCTAAATAGTCCTCAAATGTTACTCAAAGGCAATACTGAGCAGAAATGGGTATTTAAAGTCCAAGTATCCCTGTTGACTTGCTTTTGGTGAGGGGTTTGAGATAGGGCTTTATTATGTGGCCCCAGGCTGGCTCCTACCTCAGCTTCCTGAGTGCTGGGCTTATTTATATAACTACACCCATTTCCAGGCGTCTCCTGAGACTCACACTTTCTGTTGAGGGGCATGCTAGTTCTTTTCCACACTATCTGTAGCTAACTGTAGGAAGTTGTCCAGCACAGGAAAGAAAATTAGACCATTGATTTTTCAGGTCTTTTAATGTTTTACAGGTTTAGCACAGTTAAAATTTGACTATTGAACCAGTCTATTAAAGGTTTATGGCTCCCCATCCTAGTCATAGGTCAGTCATATCAACCTGTGTGGTGGAGGAGCTGACAGCATTTGTTCCTGATTTCAGTTAGCAGTGTGCATGGGGCGCTCAAAAGGAGCTTTGTCAACACAGTTAATCTGTATGCTATAAAAAGCTTGCTGGTGGGTTTCTTGCTATTGGTGCAGTTCTGAGGAAATGGCAAATCTTTGAGGAAATTTTAAGGGTCAGCTTAATGGATTGAAATTATTTTCATAGGGCTCTATAAGAACATTTATTATGTATTTTAGTGGCTTTGCATTTTTTGTCAGCTTGACATTCTTATTTAATTTCTTTTACATTGCTGTAGTATACAAAGGTACTAGGTATCATTTCATGGCCAAATTGAATTAGAAAATCTTGAACCTTGGTGGAGAATGCACCTGGGAGTGGCAGAAGCGTCTTGGCCAATTGCCAGTCTTTTGTGTGCAGTTAAACAGAACTGCAAGCGTATGGGTATAGATACCCAGAGCTTCTGAAATGCAGGAAGGAGGCTACAGCTTGGGGGGGGGGGGGGGTTATCACATTAGTGCTGCATTTTTGGGCTTGAGAACAGAATGCCAGGGAACCACACTGCAAAATTACTGCCACATAAATACCCCCAACAGAATTGGTGATTGTTGTGAGTTTATAAAGCTTTGGTTGAAATTAGTATTTTTCCCATACCTTAACTGTTACAGAGAAACAGATTTCTCTGAGTAGGGGTATTGTCTCATTTCTCAATATAGTTTAGGAGTTTTCTTGTGCATGTGCATCAGTTTCCAATGGCTAAACTGAATGATAAGGTAAAAATATTTGAGTATTTGATTATTAAGCATTTTGACTTTGGCTGTTCTCTATGAGTTTGAAGCCAGCCTTGTCTACAGAACAAGTTCCAGGACAGGCTGCAAAAGCTATAGAGAAACTCTGCCTCAAAAAAAAAAAAAAAAAAAAAAAAAAAGCAAAACCAAAAACAAGTAAAATAACTAAAATTGTTCATCATAATTTAAGATCAGGGAAAAATATTTGCTTCACACTGAAGTTAAAACTGCAAATTTCGGGAGGCAGAGGCAGGCAGATCTCTGTGAGTTCGAGGCCAGCCTTGTCTACAGAGCGAGTTCCAGGACAGCCTCCAAAGCCACAGAGAAACCCTGTCTCGAAAAACCAAAAAAAAAACAAAAAAAACAAAAAAAAAACTGCAAATTTCAACTTTTCTGCATATACCACATGGGTAACAAATTGTTGAATGTTACTTGCAGCCTGAATAGCTCACTTGTTAAGTAGTCACAAAAACTGACATGATTTTACTACCATTTTCATGAAATGGACATGTACATTATATTACAAGGAGAAAGCAAGGCTTCCAACCTATACTTTTTTGGACACAGCTAACTCAGAATCAGCCTGCAGATTGCTAGGAATGCCAGTGTACACCTCCTGGATTAGCTATCTCCTACCTCCTCTCAAAGTATAGGTTTTTTTTTTTAGATTTATTTATTTATTATGCATACAATATTCTGCCTGCATGTATTTTTGAGAAGAGGGCACCAGATCTCATCACAGGTGGCTGTGAGCCACCATGTGGTTGCTGGGAATTGAACTCGGGACCTTTGGAAGAACATTCAGTGCTCTTAACCTTTGAGCCATCTCTCCAGCCCTAAAGTGTAGGGTCTTTACAGGGGAAAAAAGCCTGAAATGCTGAGTTGGTAACACTAAATTCTTGATATTTACCTCTTGAGAAGTAGAAGGGAATAGAAACACAATGAAATAAGGAAGACTGTCAAAATAATCTTTCAAACAAAGAAGCTTAACTTATAGGAACACATTTGTTAAAACAATACCATTTCTAGAAAATATTAACTTACCAGTATGTGCTGTAGCTACTGCAATCCATACACACTGTATGCTGAGCTTTCTCTTGCTTTTCAGATCTCTTATGGTTGGGTAAGGGTATCTGTGCATCTTCATAATGTTTTTTTGCATGGCCGTTCACATACCTTACAAATCAAAGAGAAATTTTTATTTTAATTTAAATATTGCTTTGGAAAAGTAAAAGATTATGAAATTGTTAATCAAATTAAAATGAGAATGCTTGAAAAATGAATCATCTGGTGATATATTTCAGTGCTATTTATATTATCACTATTAACATCTATGTTGATGATTTCCCTATAGTTTTTTTTTCTCTTGTTATGGTTTTCTCAAATTGCTAACTCCTAGCTTGAGTTATACAAAGAATAAGTAAATAAACTCTGTACACAAAATTAGTCAACCTCCTTTCACAGAGCCCTAAACTGGAATTGCACCTACAATGTGAAGAAAGTCAGACAATAAGTAGGGCAGTCTGTGTTCTCCTAGCTATGGCCTCAAACCTTTTCTCTGAATGCCTCATCATCAACACTCTTGGAAATGCATTTGTTTAGAACAATCCAAACAAAACACAAATCAACTTAAGTTTAGAAAAACTACAATTTCTCCATGTGAACAAACATAGCTAATGGTTGTTTATATTCCAACAACCAGTTTCTTAGCTTTCCAACTCAAGTTTTTTGTTTGTTTGTTTGTTTCACTGTAAGGTGCTATAGTTGCTCAGAGAGCTGGCACTTTCCTTGGGGAAGGAGAGTGGTGGTGTTCAGTCAGCAAGTACGGCCTCTACATTCCAGGAAAACTTACACTACACCCTTAACCGAAACTCAAGAATTCAATCTTTTTTTAAACCTTTTTACCCCCCTGGACCCTAAAACCATAGATCCTCTGTCTCACAAAGCAGTCTGAGTTTTAAATTAAAAAAACAATTAAGGGTACATACTTAGAAACCAATCTTTCTGGACAGGCATTGAAGGCACACACACCTTTAAGCCCAGCACTCGGGAGGCAGAGGCAGGCAGATCTCTGAGTTTAAGGCCAGCCTGGTCTACCAAGCACCAGGACAGGTTTCAAAACAATACAGAGAAACTGTCTTGAAATCCCTTCCCCACTCCCACCCCCGAAAAAAAAAAGAAAAGAAGAGAAATCAGCCTTTCCAGTAAGGCCTTTCACACGCTGTCCATAGGAGCACAATGAGTTGCTAACCTTTCTGTCCTAGTTTTTCTCACCTGTGAATGAAGGTTACAGTGCATGCATCACTGGATTACTGGGCAATTAAATAATCTATGGCTCAAAAATGAGTGTGTGTGGTTGCTTCATTAGCATTTCCCCTTATATACTTAACTGTTTATTCAGAATGCAAATAACAAACCAACTGCTTAGAGAGTGGGCCCAAAAAACACGACTGATGATGCATTATGTTGTTGCATGCTAGGAAGTGCTTGCTGTTTAACTGAAAAAAGAAACTCTACTCTCTATAAGCTCAGTAACCTCCTGCACGTTGTCTTTTTAGCACACACCATGAAGAATGGGAATGAAGAATGCCTTCACAACAGAAATAATGACTAGCATAGCATTTCAGGGCTTTGAAAACTGATCATCTTTACATAGTAGACAGAGATGTTCAGTTATAATTCTGCAGTTTCCAAATGCCTTCTATATTTAAATTGTTTCTGTGTGACTGAGAACAAAGGATACTAACATCTGTTTATGAAGATGTTGTAGTGAAATCCAACATACTAGCTAGAAATTTTGATAAAAGAAATATAATTTAAAAAATCAAATGCTCCTAATAAGGTCAGTGATAGGCCAGACTATAGAGGGTCATGCCTTTAATCCCAGCACTCTGGAAGCAGAGGCAGGCGGATCTTTGAGTTTGAGGCCAGCCTGGTCTACAGAGTGAGTTCTAGGACAGGTTGCAAAATTACATAGAGAAACCCTGTCTCAAAAACAAAAACAAAACAAACAAACAAAAAAACTCAGTGATAAAATTATAATTATTGATGGATTGACATTAAAAATAGCAATGTTGTGGCTAATACCCAAACACACTAGTCAGAAGCTAACTGTATAAAGCTAGCTTATATAAAGATAGTTATTTCCCTCATTGTTTTAGATTTTAACTTCTTTAGGCACATGGTCTGTTACACAAGAAGCCAAGTTTATCATGTATGTCGCAGATCCCAATAACAATCTCAAGAATTTGAAAACTAAGCAGGATTGTGTTGTAAAGAACAGTAGGATGTTTACCTCACATGTGCTGATACACCATAGTTTCTGAAACATTACATTGAAAGAATATTCATTTAAGACTTCCCTGAAAGCAGATAGTCTGAAGTTACTGAAAAATCTGTATATTTGACAACTAAAATTACATAAGAGATGCCAAAATAAAAAATCAGGCTACTCTCCATTATCTGCTTAATCAGCTAATCACACTTCTCTGGAAATCTATGAAATTTCTAAGCTCAACAGATGGTGGTGGCGTACGCCTTTGATGCCAGCACTAGGGAGGCAGACACAGGTGGATCTCTATGAGTTTGAGGCCAGCCTGGTCTACAGAGTGAGTTCCAGGATAGCAGGATTACACACAGAGAAACCCTGACTCAAAAAAAAAAATTCTAAACTTGAATTTGCCTTTAATTACAAAGAATCCACCTGCAGTCTAGAAAATTTCAACTTACTTTTCCAAAGCCCAGAGAACTGTTTGCTTCCTATTTATCAAGAACATTAATCTCTCCCATTTTTTTTCTCAAAAATGTCCTGGTCTTTCCACTGGTATATGACCTTCAACCTTTAGATATAGCACACTCTTTGACATCTGGAGGAGTCACATAACCCTAACTGTATTATCATCCTCACCTCTCAGAGCTAGAAGATTGTAACTCTTCAGTATAGAACTAAAGGGCTTCTACTTGTCTTTTTAAAAAATTATCTATACAAAATGTTTTCAGGCTCCCCAGATCCTGGAGATTTTGAAACCACAGCAGCCACAATTAAGACACACAGCATTTTCAGAAGGTATTCTTAAGTATTCATGGGAAGGATACTCAATTCCAGAACTCATGTGAAAAATCAAGATAACTGAACAACAAAAATGCTTTCATCATGCAATGAGGATTTAAAGTAACAATGGGAATATACTCCAAATAAATACAGCATAGACCTAAATACCTGTGATTTACCTGATATGTGACTGCTGAAAGACGTTCAAAGTAGATCATCTCCTACCTGCCCACCTTTTTCTTTTGGGGAGGGGGTGTTTGGGTTTTGTTTGATTTTTTCAAAGAAGATCTCATTCTTTTCTTTTCTTTTCTTTTTTTGTTTTTTCCAGACAGGTTTCTCTGTGTAGTCTTGGCTGTCCTTGTCCTGGAACTTGCTCTGTAGACCAGACTGGCCTCAAACTCACAGAGATCTGCCTACCTCTGCCTCTCAAGCACTGGGATTAAAGGCTTGTGCCATCACAGCCTGGCTCAAAGATCTCATTCTTTAGTTCTGACTATCTTAGAAACTCACACAGGCTGACCTCAAACTCACAGCAATCTTCCTCCCTGGTGTTAGAACTACATGCATGAACTACAAGGCTCCCACCTCTTAAGACTAGATGATTTCTAAAGCCAAACTGTAGTAGAAATATCTTTAGAGTTACAGCTAAAAGTAGTTACTGAAATATCTAAGTAATGGCATTTTGAAGCCAAAAATTGCAAAGAAATGCTCAAGATTGAAATGGGAGCTACTAAATCTACATGAAAACAAAATGTTTGTTGGTTTGGTTTTGAGGCAGAGACTCATGTAACCAAAGATGGCCTATAATCCAAGTTGATCATAACCAAAGATAATCTTTAACTTCTGATCCTCCTGCCTCCAACTCGTGAGAGCTGGGAGCACAGGAATAACTAATTCCACACTACATGTTGTGCTGAGCTAACAACAGAAGTCAGAGCTTCCTGCATGTCAACAAACTGAGCCACATCCCCAGACTCAGAGGTAAGCTATTTAAATTGAAATATTTGTTCTATCTCAGGTAGGAATAAGTGACTGAAGAGAGAGGTCACTTTCAAAGGGAATTCCATTATCTGTAAATATTTCATTCTTTTTAGGATTTTCTTCTCTCAGAAAAAAAAATCTATCTGGGTTTTGATTCCAGTCAGTAAAGAAAGTAGACAGGGCAGATAAGAGAACCAAGACTGGTTTCATGTCCATTGTGTTGTCATAATGAAAACTGGGAATCAAGTATACTACTTTGGAGTGCACTTAAACTTTACCCTACACTGGGCACTGGTGGTTCACACCTTTAATCCCAGCACTCAGGAGGCAGAGGCAGGAAGATCTCTGTGAGTTTGAGACCAGTGGGAACTACACAGCAAATTCCAGGAAGGCCAAGGCTGTTATACAGAGAAATCCTATCTCAAAACACCTCAAAAACATCTTACCCTTCTAAAAAGATTTAAAAACAATCATTTGCTAAACTTTTGTTTCAAGGTTTAAAAGTTTCCTTGCTTCAATTTTCCCAAGCAAATATTATTAATAGGTTGTCTTAATCACTAAATTATAATTCTGCATAGCAGCATAAAGGGATTCCCCTAGATTTTCCCTCAATGTATCAAACAACTAAGTATTCAACCTGAGAGTACTACAAAAAACAAAAAGGGCATGCTATGATTAACAAAAGTATTAAATACACTTTAATATAAAGCTTTCAGGCCAAATTTTAAAGCAAGTAGAGTAATGAATAATAAATATGTCACGTACCTTCCACAGTGGACACTTGAACAAGTCAAACAGACCCAGGGGCTTTTGTTGGACCTGCACACTAATAAAAAGAAAAATACAATATAGCATTTGGATTGTGTTATTTTACACTGTTCCCCAATCTCTAAAGATATCCTGTGATTATAAATTCCAAGGCTGCACAGGGTTTTGAGGACAGGAATCACACCTCAGGAGTGAGCTCACAGAGATACTAACTATCTACCAAAAATTGTATCAGAAAGAATTTAAATGCACATCCACGATGCAGTGCGCTTTACCTGATTCAATTCAAACAGCCTAGCCACAGATTAAATATTCGTACACATGTTCCCTCTATTACATATTCTCTTTTGCAGTCTCCCAACAGGTTAATTGCCTGGTTTCCCATTATAAGCATTGTGGATTTTATTATCTTTTTAAGTCTCTTTTAATCATGTACCTTTGCCATCCAGGTCATATACAACTATAAATAACAACTCTTCCTTTATTTAGTTAGCAGTATAACCTTAAGTCACAGTTAAAACTAATCCTAGTTTTCTAAAAGTACTTTGCAGAAAATATGTCAAATAAAATGCACATAATTCTTGAAGATGGTGTCAATAAGACAATTATTTTCATTTAAGTGTTACAGCTGAGCCAGGCAGGATAGGGTATAGAAATTCTTAAAACGTTGATTACAATTTTTTGTTGCTGTTGTTGTTGGGCTGCTATGACTCAGTGATAGGACATTTGCCTAACATGTTGGAACCCCTGTGTTTGATTCCCAGCAACTTATTTTAAAAAAATGTTTTCCATTTCCTCATTCAATTGCCCCAAAGTCCAACTTGTAATAATATAAATTTAACACTGGATCATTTTAAGAATAGAACAGGTCGCCGAGTATTGGTGGCGCACACCTTTAATCCCAGCACTTGGGAGGCAGAGGCAGGCAGATCTCTGTGAGTTCAAGGCCAGCCTGGTCTATAGAGCGAGTTTCAGGACAGCCTCCAAAACAATACAGAGAAACCCTGTCTCAGAAAAAAAAAGCGCATTAACAGTCCACTGCTTAGTATGAACCTTGGCCCAAACCATATGAGCAGTTATTTTCTAACTAAGAAAGTTCCCAAGACAACTTTCAACCTATTTCAAGGTTTTCCAGTCAGAAAAATAATTTCAGTGAAGTATTTCATTTCAATGGCCTTGACTATTCTAGTAAAACCACAGGAGATGGGAATAACAAGGCAGGCAAATATCCATACATTATTATAAAATCACACATTACTACTCACACAATCAAAATATTAAATGTTTATTCGTCTTCCAAGGAGCCCAATAATTAATAATAATAACAACAACAACCTATGTGTACAAAGCTGTTAGTTGCAGCAGCACTGTTAACTACAAAATACTCTAAACAATTCTCGGGCTGGAGAGATGGCTCGGCAGTTAAGAGCACTGGTTGTTCTTCCTGATGTCGTGAGTTCGAGTCCCAGAAACCACGTGGTGGCTCACAACTGTCTGTAATGAAATCTGGCTCCCTCTTCTGGCCTGCAGCATACATGCAGACAGACCACTGAATATGTAATAAATAAATCTTTAAAAAAAAAAAACAATTCTCACAAATGGAAGACCAGCTGCATTTCACTGTGACACGCCCACAAATGGAATACAGTAGAAAACAGTAAATCAACAGAAGATGGACAAATGAACAGATGGATGAATGAGAGAGGAATGGAGAGAAGAGAAAGAGAAGTAGCGGGAGAGGCCCAGGAGATGGCTCAGTCAGGAAAGTGCTTTCTTTGAAAACAGAAGGATCTCAGTTTTAGCACCAGAACCACATCTTAAAAAGCTGAGCTTAGCCGGGCGTTGGTGGCGCACGCCTTTAATCCCAGCACTCGGGAGGCAGAGGCAGGCGGATCTCTGTGAGTTCGAGACCAGCCTGGACTACCAAGCGAGTTCCAGGACAGCCTCTAAAGCCACAGAGAAACCCTGCCTCGGAAAAAAAGAGAAAAAAAAACCAAAAAAAAAAAAAAAAAAAAAAAAAGCTGAGTTTAGCCAGGTGGTGGTGGTGCACGCCTTTAGTCCTAGCAAGTCTCTGAGTTCAAGATCAGCTCAGCCTGGTCTACAGAGTGAGTTCTAGGACAGTCAGGGCTGTTACACAGAGAAATCTTGCATCCAAAAAAAAAAAAAAAAAAAAGCAGGGGTGAAGGAAGTAGAAGGCAGGGAGGGAAGGAGAGGAAGGAGAAGCAGCTGCAGCAGCAAGGAATGATGGATTTTGCTTGTAATCTCAGCACTGGGGAAGTAGAGGCAGAAACAGGAGGGTCCCTGAAGTTCACTAGCTAGCCAGACCAGTCAAATCACTGGGTTCCAAGTTCAGTCAGTGTCTCAAAAAATAAGGTGGTAGGCTGCCAAAATTATTGAGCAGGTAAAAGCACTCAGGGCAAACCTGATAAACTAAGTTCAATCCCTGGAACCCACAGTGGAAGAATAAAACTGACCCCCCAAAAGTTATTTGTGACCTATACAAACAATAATATTGATTAATTAATCAATTAATTAAAAATAAGGTGGGAAGGGTTAGAGGAAAACACCTGACATTGACCTCTGGCCTCCACCACACACATACACATAACACAAAGAAAACAAAAAATTTCTACAAACATGAAGTGATATTCAAGATCTAATATTAAATTACAGAAAAGATAGTTTGCTTGCTCTTGTGGAAGGAAGGAATTCCTATGTAACTGCACAGTTGATAAAAAGTAACAGAAAGGATAAATTAGAAATTAAACTATTACCTTAAGAGTTAAGGGAGAGTGGGTGGGAGGGATGGTGTAGTGACAATTCTTACTTAGAATAGCTTTTTATGAAATTTAACCTTTGAAACAATGTTAATGGTCTATTTACTCAAAATGTGACCTAAAAACAGCAAGGATCAGTGGAAAGTCTAAAATGGAAATCAAAAACACAAATGGGCAAAGCTGTATTTCAAATATGTGCATGGAAGGGAAGGGATGGCTAGTTCTGACATTGAACATACTGCTTTATATATTGTTCATGTTCAGACAAAACCAACTGTGTAACTGCTGAACTCTAATTACCAAAGCACCTTTTGCTAGCGATTCTGGAACTTATTTCTCTGATTATAGAATCAGGCAAATGAGTACACGCACTACAGGTGATGGGAACCAGCCTCTCCACATCCAGCAAATATGAAAGGAGCAGGGGTCAGCCCATGGTTTTGAAAAGAATCATGGCTGTCAGCAGCAACTCATGGTCAGACAAACAAAAACATACACATCAACAGTGGTAGATGTACCTATTCATTCATACTTCTTACTTAGATCTTTCTGCTGGGATATTTGAGTTTACAACATTATTCCCAACCAAAACAAATGAGGGCTACTTGGAGAAATGACTAATTCCAAGATTGGGATAGGCTGGGAACAAGATGTGCATGGAACATCTTGTAATGTCTGATAGAAAAGGCCCAAAGGACACATTTTAAAAAAAAAGCTGGGCAGTGGTGGTGCACACCTTTAATCCCAGCACTTAAGATACAGAGGCAGGAGGATCTCTGTGAGTTTAAGGCCAGCCTGGTATATATAATGAGTTCTAGGACAGTCAGAGATATACAAAGGGACACAAACTCAAAAACCCAAAAAACAACTAAAAGGATACCAAACTAAAAAGCAGCTGACAGCCTCTTGCCTTCTCCCCTAACTAAAACCTTACTCAACTGAAAAACACAACAGTCAGGATAAAGAGAACTCATGAGAATACCAAAGTAGACAAAAGAGTTTGTAAGTCAAGAAGAAATCAGAAGAGCAGAGAGATCCTAGTAATCCCAAGGAAGCTGCTAAAGCTTCCTGCCAAGAGAGTGCAGATGGGACCAGGCTCAGCACACTAGGATTGAATGAATAGAGAGGGTAAGGTTGGAGCTTTAAAAAATAAGATAAAAAGTCCTGAAGTGGTAAGGACAACAGAGTCATGAAAGACATCCTTTATGCCAAAGTCAAAACATCAAAAGGGAAGATGGGAAGCCATGGTCCTCTATACAGAGTGCTGAGTATCTACTTGCAGGAAAGAAGGTGGCTTGCTTCCTGCCTCTTAGGAAAGTTAATGTAGATGCCCATCCATTGACAGAGCTACACAGTGCTACTCTTACATGAAAAGACAAGGGTTAAACAGATCTTTAAAGAAAATCTCAAATCCAAAAAGAATCATGTTATTATTGAGTGGGTGTGTATGTAAAAGGCATGTGTCACAGCTCAGGTGTGGAGGTCAAAGAAAAACTCTCAGAGCTTGGTTTGTAGGTTCCAAGGATCATATCCTGGTCATCAGGCTTGCAAGGCCAGCTGCTTTTAACTACTGAGCCACCTCACTGGTCATCATTTTAAAAAAGGAGGAGGATGGAGCTGGAGAGATGGCTGAGCGGGCAAGAGCAGCTGTTATTCTTACAAAAGACCTGCATTCATTCCCCAGCACCCACAGAGCAGCTCATAACTGTCTAGAACTTGTCATATCTAGGGTTATCTGGTGCCCTTTTCTGACACCCAAGGATACCAGGCACACTGCATACTAAGTATATAGATGAGAGTGGAGTGCCTAGTATGCACAAGGCCGTAAGTTTGATCTCCAACACGAGAAAAAAAAAGAGGGGGGGAACTGCCCCGAAAGAAAATCATTTAAGGAACACAGAAAAACTCTAAACCATAGAAGGATAAAGATACTATAAAATGGAAAGAAACAGGACTTTGTAAAAGGAATGGTCAGAGAATAAGAAAGGGTTCATGAAAATTAAAAAATATAATCAAAATTCAACAGAAACAGTAGAAGAAAAAAATTCAAGGAAACATCCAGAAACTAGACCCAAAAAGCAAGCAAGCAAGCAAGAGAGAAAGAGAAAATTAGAAGCTCTAATTTAGCAAGCATTCAGTTAATAGGGTTCTAGAAAGAAAAAAGAACAAGAACTAACAGTACTAAGTTTCAGTAAAGAAATGGATCACATTTAAAACACAACTCGCATGCGTTTTAACTTAAGGCTGTGATATTTAAAGCCACCTGAGTACCAGCAAGATG